TTACAGCAAAACGCTGTAAGGGGTAACCTTCACATCATTTTGCTGTGAAGTTTCAAGTATAAAATAGTTGTCTAACAGGTTTCATGAAAACAGACTGGTCTCATGTGAACCAAACCCAAGAAACAAATCAAAAGACTTAAGGTAGAACTTGCTTTATTGAATGTATTATGTGAAAGATGAATCTTTGTATAGATATCTACCCAAACTTTGTTTCTTTTTGGTTTGAATGGTTGTCATGTTGAGTACACTTTAAGGTTTTGAGTTGTCAAATGTCATATGTCAATTCCATGTAATCATGTTACATTTGAGATTCTATTACATATTAAAGATTGATATGAGAGGCATCTTCTGTCTTAACGAGTTAAGCTATCGTGATATAGTTATAAGACATCTTCAATCGATGTAGTAAAGTGCGAAATTAAATGGTTCTATACGGGTATAAGAGAAGCATCTTCTGTCTTAACGAGTTAAGCTATCGTGATATAATTACAAGACATCTTCAATCGATGTAGTAAAGTGCGAAATTAGATGGTTCTATACAGGTCAAAGATAGTCCATATTGAAGCATAATATCAAACTTTGATGAACCTCATTTAACTCGAGTGAAAATTAATTTCGATACATGTTTTTTTTATCTTAATTAGTTGAAATTTAATAATTTAAAAAGTTGTATTATAAGACATAAAGGTATAAATTTAACTGATTTACTAAAACTAATTAATGTACATTAAAAATTATTATAGTTAAGTAAAATATATACAGATGAATTTAACTAATCAGTATATACAAACAAAAAATTATTATGGTTAAAGGATAAATTAATAAATATATGTCAAATACATAGAATGCTATAATTTAGCACTGGTGGTTGGAGACAGTTATGATGAATACTGTAAATTTTGAGTATAAAATTTAACAGTAGTGTTATGTTTAGCACTTTCGGTTGAAGATATATAAGTATTTATTTGTGTGTATATATATATATATATATATATATATATTATCGATTTCTTGATGTGTTACGTATTTTTATGCTTATTGATTTCTTGAGTATAAAATACAGTTTAGAATTCAAGTTCTATATTCGGGTCAGAATTAGGTCTTTTCGTAAATATATAGTTGATTAGAAACCCCTGCGTATGCTGCAAGAGTTTGTGTTTATTTCTAAAGTATCATAAAATAGGATTCGGTTCAAATGAAGACTATATATCATGAAAAGGTAAAAAATGGGAAGTTAAGAGAAAATTCATATGTGAATCATTGGAAAAAATATATTTGAATATGTATAATGGAATCAAGGTTAAATATTATTCATATGAGTTCATATATGCAGCTTTAAATGATTTTTTTTCTCAAGAATTCACATATGAATCTTTTTTCAACCTACTTTCTCACGATATTTAACCTTTTTATTTGGTTCTTGTGGTTTGTCAAAAATAACATTTTTCATACCTATAGTTTTGAAATTACAAGATGACCATTGTTGTTTGCACGAACATCCATATTTGTTCAGTCGCTATAACGGCTATTAAAAAAATCAGTTAAATGAGAGATATTTTTGTCATTTTATTGATTCTTTTTTGTTTTTTACTCTATCAAAGTCGATTTTATGATTTGGACCCTGTGGTTTCTTTACTGAGTAAAAGACAAAAAATCGATAAAATGATAAAAATGCCTCTCATCTAACGAAATTTTTTAAAGGCCGTTACAAGGAGGGACCAAATCATAACGCCTTTGCAAACCACACTACAACAAAATTGGTCTTATAAGGCACCTAAACTATCTAAACGTCTTAATAGAATACTTTATAGAACCTAGGTTTATAGAATCAAACTATAAAGCGTCATATCTAAAAGCGTCACAACAGGTTTATAGTACGCTTTTAGGCGTTTTAACAAGTTTTTAGAACGCTTTTAAAATATAGTGTCATATTAGCGCTTTTAAAATATAGTGTCATATTAGCTATTTTATATGACAACTTTGAACTAGTGTCGTACATGATTAGCTAATACGACACTTTATTTTAAAAACGTCCAAAAAAAGCTTGTTAAACCGCCTAAAAACGTACAATAAACCTATTGTAACACATTTAGATAGTACGTTTTTTGATTTCGTCCCATAAACTATTTTTTAGGATGCTTTATAAAATCAATTTTGTTGTAGTGTCACGATGGTCATCTTGTAATTTTAAAACTGTATAAACGAAAAGTGTAATTTTCACAAACGATAGGGACCAAGCTTGTAATTAAGAAAAGAGTTGTTGATTTGGATTGAATAATAATAGAGGGCTTAATATGGTCGGCATTCATACCAACTATGAATCTCCTTCATTTGTATATCAAGGAGATTGTCGGGTTTATTTTCTGTCCTTTTTTTTTGTTTATTATTAATACAATTTTTTTATAGACATAGGTTTCATTAGATTATGTTTTAGAGTATCTATTTCTATTATTTTGATATATATATATATATATATATATATATATATATATGAGTTATTATGTAATTTTTTACATTTATACAACCAATATAACTCAATTTCAACCGTCCATTTTAATTTGATAAATATGTGATTTCATAAAAGTTTTAATTGTTTCATAATATAAAGTATTGATAATAATTAATGAACTCTAGTCATATTCCATAAATATTCAAATCATAATAAATGAACTCTCATCATTTACATAAATACCCAAATTGATTGGATTGAATTGGTTGTACAAATGGACATAGTTGCATTTGAAATATACCCTATATATATATATATATATATATATATATATATATATATAAGTGAATGAGTGTGTGAAAAATAAAATTAAAGTGAGAAGTGTAAGAAAAAATTTGAACATTTGATCATTTTTAATCTCAAACTCACTCAAATCATGTTTGATAAGGGGATTGATCCGGTACATGTCGATGCATCTCATCCTAATGTGCATCTAAGAGTGAACATTCATTCTTACGTTTCTCACCCGAACCAAATCCTACATATATTCATACACACACATACATATATATATATATATATATATATATATATATATATATATA